TGTATTTAATGCTACCATTGACACATATGTGCAAATGTCTCTTTAGTATCCTCAATTGAATATTTTGGGGTGACATATAACCCTTGACATTTGTGTATATACATGATTCTCTAACCAACAGAGCACTGGGTGAGAAGTAATAAATTCTCTTAATTCTATTAATTTACATTTCTTTCATGCCTTGATATATCATTTTTAGTGCTAAATAATATTTCATTGTATATATTTCAGTTTCCTTTTCTAGTCACCGGTTCACATATATCTTCATTGATTTGAATTTTTGGAATGTATGGATTAAACTTCTAAAAATAGTCCCATGTAGGCTTTTGTGTAGATAAAATTTTTATCTCTTTGGTTAAATAGTATAGAGCACATTTTTGGGGGATTATGTAATAAGTGTATGCTTACTTCTGTGAGGACTTCTAAACTCTTCCCAAGGGGCTGTAGCATTTTGTATTTTCACCAGTAAGGAATGAGAGCTCCGTTTGCTCCACATGCACAGCAGCATAGGCTCTTCTCAGTGTTCTGGATTCTGACCTTTCCAGCAGGGATTTTGTGTTGCTTGAATGTGCACTTTCTTCAATTTTTCCTTCTTTTAATGTCCATTTCCTAAAAGATATAAGATGTTGAGAGTATTTTAGACACCATCTTTTTATCTATATATTTTTAAAATATTTTATTCATCTATGTCTAGAGAGGGGTAAGGGAGAAAAGGAGAGAAACATCAATGCCTAAAAGGCACATTGATCATTTTCCTCTCTCACACCACCAAATTGGGATCTGGAGCCAAACCCAGGCCTGTGCCCTTACCAAGAAGCAGACTGCTGACATTTTGGTTCTAAGGCAGGTGCTCAGTCCACTGAACCACACCACTCATGAGTTACAAATATTTTTTTTTCTCAGCTCATGAGTTCTTCTTTTCCCTCATGATGATGCTTGCTTTTTCTTTTTTTTTCCTTAATGCTTCATTTGAGACATCAGTTTAAATGGTAATACTTTGAATTTGAGAAACAAAGTTGGTTTACAATTTGCCTTGAAAAGTATGTGGTCTCCTGAGCTTCTGTGCCTCAGTGCATTGACCACCAGCCTGCAAACCAAAGGGTCACCAGTTGGATTTCCAGTCTGGGGCAAATGCCTGGATTGCAAACCAGGCCCCCAGAAGGGGGCGCACAAGAGGAAACAACACATGTATGTTTCTCTCCCTCTCTTTCGATCTCCCTTCCTCTCTATAAAAAATAAATAGAATCTTTACAAAAATGTATGCAGTGCATACAATTAAGTTTTTGTAATTGTTCAGTAACATGGAACATATATTTGCAATCCATTTTTTCATAATTTCCTTAAACACATCTTGACTCATCCCTTGAAGGTGACATGTTGAGAGATAATGTTGTCTTGGTGTAACAAGGTCTGTTCAGCAGGTATAAAGACATGTAATATGAAAACTAAACCTGGCACCCACTGTAGGCATATGCCCTTACTGGGAATCCAACTGGCGATCCTTTGGTTCCGAGGTGCCAGCGCTTGATCCATTGAACACACAAGCCAGTACTCCCTGTTTTCCCATCACAGTGTTGTTTTTTGTTTGTTTGTTTGTTTATTTTTCTGTGGTGTAAGTTCCTTCTATCCTTTGAATATTTAGCATTATTTGTGAGTATCTTCCACTATTCACTAGATTGGTTTGTTTTCTTGATGATTTCCATTGTTTTGCAAAAGCTTATGTTATTGCAGTCTTGTTTAGTTTTTTCTCCTGTCTGCTCTACCTTCCATGTTATATCTAAAAGAATATTTTTTAAGAGTCATGACAGAGTTTGTCAGCTGTCCTTTCTTCTAGTGTTTTCATGGTTTCAGGTCTCTAATTTAGGTTTTAATCCACTTGAAGTTTATTTTGGTACATGTCATAACAAAGTGGTCTACTTATAATGTTTTGTGTGTACTGGTTCAGTTTCTCTCAGACCATTTATGATAGAATCTGTCTGATCTCATTGTATATTCCTGATTTTTTAAAATAAATTAGTTAATGACATGTATTTGTTCATTTTAAAAATTGGGTTACTTGTTTTATCATGATGTTTTTGTAAAAGTCCTTCATATAACCTGGATATTAACTACTTGTCAGGTACACTTTGCAGAATTTCTTTTCCTTCTACAGGATGTAATTTTATCCTACTGGTTTTTTTGCTTTAATGTGCAGGAGTTTTTATATTTGGTGTAATGCTATTTGTTTACTTTTTTCTAGTTTACATTTACTTTGGGTGTTATAATAAAAAAAATGTCCTAGAATCTCTCTTTTTTTTTAGTGAATTAAGAGCTATTAGCTTTTGCCCTGGCCCTAGTGGCTCAGTTTGTGCAGCAACATCCCTCAAAGCCAAGCTCTCTGGTTTACTACTGGGAAAAAGAAAATACCTGGGTTGTTGGGCCTCTTAAGTGGCTGAGGACATAAACAGGGAACTACTTGGTGTTTCTATATTTTCATATATTTTTCAATTTGAATATTCTGTTTTTCAGCTTCCCATTCTATGTTTGGCTTATATTTACATTTTCTCTGGTTTGATTTTTATTTTGGTCATTTACAGGTTTGCTACTATTAAGTAGTTGTCATATTTTTCTATGTTTCTATATTCAGGTGGGTATTTTCACTTCTTTATGCCGTAGGTATTACATTTCAATACAACTAGTGCCAATTTTTGTAGATATCTTTTAATTTTCTGATTTGAATTGGTTTTCTGTTTCCTGTCTTTTTTTTTAAAGATTTTATTTATTTATTTTTAGGGAGGGAAGGGAGGGAGAGAGAGAGAGAGAGAGAGAGAGAGAGAGAGAGAGAGAGAGAGAGAGAGAGAGAGAGAGAGACATGTGCGGTTGCTGGGGTTTATGGCCTGCAACCCAGGAATGTACCCTGGCTGGGAATCAAACCTGGGACACTTTGGTTCCCAGCCATGGCTCAATCCACTGAGCTATGCCAGCAAGGGCACCTGTCTTGATATATTTGTTGAATTTCATAACTGTAAACAACTAGGCTTTATGAACTTCCTTTGTCCAGGTTAAGAGAAAATAACATTCACCCCTAGTTTAAACTCTAATTTCGATAAACACAAGTGGTGTGTGTTTGTTTTTCACTGTGTGTGAGGAGCAACTTTTATATAGTGTCAGTTTCTTTCTCAAAGCCCAGGGTATCTTTTTATGCTTGATAGTGATCTTCAGTCCCGGGTTTCTGTGGTATTTCAAGTATCACCATTCCTTTTCAGTGTGCACTTTAATGTATTCACCGTGTACTGTTATGGTGTGAGCACTGTGGGTCCTGCCAAACAGAAACACATATTTTGAAGATGCTTGAAAACAGTGAGATCATTGAACACACTGGGCCATCTATGTGTTCAGAAAAGAACTTGGAATGTGGAGTTTTCTTATCCTATTTCCACTGTGTGCCAGGGAATTTGAGCTCTGTGGTTCCTGAGTATAAGCAACCGGTGTTCCTTTTCTATGTGAATTTTTCTCATTGTACCATACTTGGTCTTGCAGCAAACATTTAAAGTTTTTTGAAGAACTTAACAATGTGATTTATTTTTAAAAAAAATCTTTGTAAGTTCAATGTACATTGACCTGGGTGTCAAACCTCTGAACGTTTATTTTGTGTCTTTCAGCTGTGTCATCTGCAGACCACCAGGACTTCTTGCAAAGGTCAGGAAGAGAAGATGTATTATTTGAAGCAACACTGGTAAGATATGAGAGGTGTGCCTCTGATACTGATAAAGGAGTGTGTGACAAAATAATAAAAAAAAATATGTTTAAATGGAGAGACCTAATTTGGGAAATCATTCATGAAACATCCTTGTTATGTAAAGATTTGAGAAAGATTACAAAATTGGGAAAACTTCCCATTTAAATCAGTTACATTTGCAGATCAATGTGTTTCCAAATTAGAAGACTGGAAATAATGTTTTAAGTGTATGTATTCTTGTAAAGAGCAAGTGGCAAACACAGGGTCTCCAGGCCAAATGTGGCCCTCCACCTTCTTTTAACCAGGCCAACACCTAGTTTATATCCCCTGGCAGTATCAATCTCCTTGCCCCTAGTTAAGGAATGTTTACATTCACCCGATCCTAAAACTACACGTGGCCCATTGAAGGCAACCTGGAGGCTGATGTGAGCCCTGGGGAAATTAGTTTGACACCCTTGTCTTAAAGTGAGTGGGCAAAATCTAGGAAAACTATAAATTTGTGGTGTGTGTAATCATTTGATTGTTTAAAACATAGAGTGAGGATAAATTTTCAGTCAATAATTTGTATAATGTTGCCATTTAAAATGCATGTATAAAGCTTAAATGGGATAAATTTCATAATGCCTTTACTAAGGAAATGTGCTTCTTTTAGAAATAATGTGTTTTTTTTTCATTTAATTGTACAATATTTTAATGAACTTGGGAGCAATTTTTAATACAACCAACATGGTTTAATAGGGATCACAGGTTGCTTATTTGGGAAAAAGTGCAAAGTTTAATGAAGTTACAGAGGTCACAAAAGGCCTTTCTGTGTTCAATGTTCACTAGAGTACATGGCACTCAGAGAGAAGGAGCCAATGCAATGTAAATTGGAAGAATACTATCCACGAGGCAAATCCTAAAGTACATCAGAAGACTCAGCTTCCAGATAGCCATCATGAAGGTGGTAAAGTATTTGACCAAATGTCAAATCAAAATGCGCATCAGGATTTTCATATTGTGAAACTGAAAACCAAGGAAGGTAAATATATCACATGTTTAAATGAATCTTCAAGTAGTACTGCAGAAACAAATATTGCTGTCAGGGAGAAAGGTTACAAATATTTACCATGCATGAAAGTCTTCAATCAAATACCTAACCTAAATACACTTAACAAAATAGGTGCCAGAGAAGAACACAAGTGTAAAAACTGTGGTAAAACAGGTCCTTGTTTTTCAGGTGTAAGTCTACATAAAAAAAATTGTCCTGCACAAAAGGCTGATATGTGCAAAGAATGTGGCAATGCATTTAGGATTACCTCAACCCTTACTCATCATCACAGATTTCACACTGGACACGGACCTGGTAAATATGGAGAATGTGCTAAAGCTTTTAGCCAGTCTTCAGATTCCAATGAATATAAAAAAAAATCATACAGCAAAGAAAATTTTCGAATGTAGAGAAGGAGACAGTGCCTTTCCAATGTTCGGTAGTCTTGCACAAGATCACAGAATTCTTACTGGAGAAAAGCATTATGAGCATAGAGAATGTGGAAAAGCCTTTAGGTGCTCCTCAAGCTTTACTTGTCATCAGAGAGTTCATACTGCAGGAAACCCTCATAAATGTATACAATATGACAAAACATTTACACAGTCTTCAAACCTTAATTACCACCAAATAATTCATACTGGAGAGAAGCCTTATACATGTACACATTGTGGGAAAGAATTTAAACACTCCTCAAGCCTTACTCGACATCAGAAAATGCATATTGGAGAGAAGCCTTATCAATGTAAACAATGTGACAAAACATTTAGGCACCTGATAACACTTATTAATCATCAGAAAATTCATATTGGAGAGAAGCCCTATGAATGTACACAATGTGGCAAAGCCTTTAGCCAGACTGCATGCCTGACTCAACATCAGAAAATTCATACTGGAGAGAAGCCCTATACATGTACACAATGTAAGAAAACCTTTAGACAACAGGGAACACTTACTCACCATCAGAGGATTCATACTGGGGAGAAGCCCTATGAATGTACACAATGTGACAAAGCCTTCAGACACCTGAATACACTTACCAATCATCAGAAAATTCATACTGGAGAGAAGCCCTATGAATGTACACAATGTGGCAAAACCTTTAGACACCAGAATGCACACCTGACTCAACATCAGAAAATTCATTCTGGAGAGAAGCCCTATGAATGTACACAATGTGGCAAAGCCTTTAGACACCTGAATACACTTACCAATCATCAGAAAATTCATACTGGAGAGAAGCCTTATGAATGTACACAATGTGGGAAAGCCTTTAGGCAGCAGACTACATTTACTCAACATCAGAAAATTCATACTGGAGAGAAGCCCTATAAATGTACACAATGTGGCAAAGCCTTTAGACACCAGGGGACACTTACTCAACATCAGAAAATTCATTCTGGAGAGAAGCCTTATGAATGTACACAATGTGGCAAAACCTTTAGCCGGACTGCACACCTGACTCAACATCAGAGAATTCATACTGGAGAGAAGCCCTATGAATGTACACAGTGTGGGAAAGCCTTTAGACTCCAGGGAACACTTACTCAACATCTGAAAATCCATACTGGAGAGAAACCCTATGAATGTACACAATGTGGGAAAGCCTTTAGACACCAGGGAACACTTACTCAACATCAGAAAATTCATTCTGGAGAGAAGCCTTATGAATGTACTCAATGTGGCAAAACCTTTAGCCAGACTGCACACCTGACTCAACATCAGAAAATTCATACTGGAGAGAAGCCCTATGAATGTACACAATGTGGCAAAACCTTTAGCCGAACTGCACACCTGACTCAACATCAGAAAATTCATACTGGAGAGAAGTCCTATGAATGTACACAATGTGGGAAAGCCTTTAGATACCAGGGGACACTTACTCAACATCAGAAAATTCATTCTGGAGATAAGCTTTATGAATGTACTCAATGTGGCAAAGCATTTACACGCTCCTCAACACTTATTCTACATCAAAGAGGTCATTCCCATGAAAAGGTTTATGTATGTAAAATATGTGGTAAAGCCTTTCACCAGTCCTGTAACCTTTCTAGGCATCAGAAACTTCATATAGGAGAGAAGCCCTGAAAGTGTTGATTATATAATAAAGCATTTTATAGTCCTCAAACCTTACTCAACATCAGACAATAGACACAGATGAAATGCCTCACTTATACACCTAATGTGACAAAAAACTTTAAACAGTCCTCAATGCTCATTCATCATAAAATATATTTATACTGTAGTGATGCCTTTTAAATGTACATAATGGCATAAAGATTTTAGCCATGCCCAACACTTACTTATCTTTAGAGAATTTATACTGGACACAAGGCTTATAAATGTGGACTCTGTGGCAACACTTGATGACATCAGGTCACTCATAGTGGAAATAAAGCATATAAAAGCAGTGTATATAACAAATCTTTTAGTGATCAGAGCTGCATTACCCAGATTGGGACATATCCATATGTAGACAAACTGTACAAATGTAGAAATTATGGCAAGATTTTAGCCTATAATGAAAACATACTCACCAAATTTAAGCCTTTTTTCAACATTCACTTCTTATGTGGCATATGAGATTTCACACCATAAAAAAAAACATTGAAAGGGAAATTATAGAAAATCATATACATGGATCAATAACCTCATTATATATTGGAATGCATAGTGGGGTGGGATTCTACATTCATAAAGAATGAAAAACTTTTATGAAATTACACAGTTTCCATAATCCCAAAGAACTTATACCTTAAAGTGGCTTGCAAGTTATAACAATTCAGGAAAGTATGCAATTGAAAAAGACTTTCAAAATATCATATTTCAGTAGAGATTTAATGATAGTTTTCAGGTATTGCTCTAAACCAGAATACTTATAGAGAATCACAGAAAGTTTAAAAAACATAAATCAGTGCTTTTCGGTGTACTTCAAAATGTCAAGAGGATCCATGTCTAGTTAAGCTATAATTACTCAGAATATAAACTACGGTATATCATCAGCATTTGAAATATTTTGACAAGGATATATTAAATTGATTCCAGTCTCCTAGCAGTTGATGCTACTGTTTTCATTCCTGGTGTGTGTGAAATCTATGGGGTGATTGTTGGCTCCTTAACAACCTGTGAACTTGTGTATATTAGGTGAGCATCACACAATTATATTGTGTAGAAGATTGAGGACAGTATAATGCACAATGTATCAAAAATCTAAATTAAGTTGCTGTTTTAAGGTTACACAGGATTTTGTTGTATGTTACAATGTAAGTCCTGCTATTTTGTGTTATGGTAAGACACAGAGATGTTAAAAGTTTTCAATACTTTTCTAAACCTCCTTTTAAGAAAATGTCAATTTATTAAAATCCTGATGTATCTTCATGGTAGTCATAGTTGAATATTAGTTGATATGGTTGGAATAAAAAGTCATCCCTGATATGTGAGGGAATATGGACAGTTCATCCCTCAGTGCAGAAAATTGTTCTATGTCCACATTTGCTCAACAGTTAGCCTCTAGGTATAAAACCAAAGAAAAGTGCTGTATGAGATGATAATTTGCAGGAACAATAACACTCCCTAATGTTTCCAGTGTGTGTGTTGAGAAATGGTAACACAATTGTACTGTGATTTTTCTTATTTAGATGATGTGTGAACTTCTATTATTATTAATAAAGGTGAATATACTGGAACATTTTAATGTCTCTAACATTACGCAGGTTTGCAGATAACAATGTGTTGTTAGGTAATGTAGTGCAGTTACAGCATTACCAGTTTGTTTTCTTTGTGGCCTTTGACGTTTAATAATGTGGAATATTTCCCGTATTGATATATTCTATTGTACCTAGTGGAACATTCTCATAATAAGTGTAGATGAAAAGTGCCTTTGGAAGAGTTCAGTATTATAATGCTGAAGAGTTATACATTATAATATTGCTCTGGTGGCATTTATTTTCTGTAACTAGGATCCTTGAACTGCCACAACCTTCTCCTGCAATTTCACATACTAGACAGAATCTGACAGAGTCACGGTTGAATGTACCTTCTTGACCTGAGTTACTGGCTGCTGCTCTGAGGAACAGTCTTCCTCCACCTCAGGCCTTTCACCAGGCATAACCATTAGATAAGATCTCTGCACACTTGATCAATATCTTGATTTTTTTCATTCATTTTGAATAATCTAACCTTAGCTTGAGGACCCCAAAGTCCTCTGCTCATGAAACCTAATGAAATCACATGCTCGGGGGTCCCCTACATTCTCCCAGCATCTGGCCTCATCCTCACATGTAGCTGCTGCAAGCCTGCTGTGTCCACCTCCCACAGTCTTTGGGGAATAAAATTGTATATTTTAATTTTTTGTTGGTCTTTTATATGACTGCTGCTAACTATCCAGAACCCGGGTGCACTGCTTAACAAATGCTAATTTTACTTTTTAAATATTTTATTTATGTATTTATAGAGAGAAGAAAAGGAAGGGAGTAAGAGAGGGAGGGAAACATCAATGTGTGGTTGCTGCACACATGGTGCCTTTAGGGACCTGGCCCACAGCCCAGGCATGTGCCCTGACTGTGAGATGATCTGGCCACCCTTTGGTTTAGAGCCCGCATTCCCCATACTGAGCTACACCAGCAGGTCAAAAGGTAGAGCTGCTATGTTTCTTGGCCTTTGTAGGGTGGACTTATGCATTGAGTGTTCTATAGAATCCACTGGCACATGCTCCCTATTCACCGGAGCTGGGGGCTCCTGTTGTGTCCTCCTTTCCATTGTGGGTAGTGCACACACTGATTTTGTAATTTCACCTTGAGTTCCTTTGTCCTTTAATGGGATGGATTTATACCTCTACCGGTGTACTGTGAGGACTAGCCCCAACCACCCACCTCCACCCCTAGAGCTCTGCCACTTCACCTGTTCAGGGGCCGATCACTCAAAGCTGGACTTACTTCAGTGTGACTTTGTTTACCAGTGAGGCTGCTTCTTCAGTGTATTACTTGTGAAGGTTTTGGTGGTGCTCTGACATGAAATAAAGTTGTCTGCCAGATGTCCTTTCTTTGGGATATCCACTTGTGCTGCCACTTCTGCCTTGCTAGGTGACATGCTATGAGATACAAAAAGATCACTCTTCAGGTGGCTGTTACTTTAGATTGTCTTAGAGGTACCCGGGAGACGTTGACCTGTGAAAAATGTCCTCCTTTTAATGGCCTGAGAACAATGGCTACATGCAGGTGTTACAGACTATGCGAAGTCAGATGGCCTGTTTGATAGATATTAGAAAAGTCTGAAGCAGAATCAGCACAGGGAAGATATATGGAAAAGCTGTGGGGAACAGCTTGGGGCTGCCTGCAGTTTTGGTGGGGTAAGGTATCAGGGAACCCACAGAGCAGAGCTAACAGCTGTAGTGAGGTGGTAGGAGACTCAGGTATGGTGCCAGTCCTACTGAGTCTTGTGGTGGTGGTGGGTGTTCTTGTGGAAAAGGGACAATTACCTCTGACAGCATATCTGTCTGATAGAAAGTTGCCCCTCCAGCTCTCACCATGATGCCAAACCATTCATTTACTCTCTGCATGTCCAACTCCTGCCATGATGTTGAAACTCAGAGTGACCGAGTCCTTGTAATTCCATTCTCATGCCCTTTAAGGGGAACACGGGGGACTCCAGGTACCTGCCATGTCCCTCCAGCAAACACTCACTGGCTTCTACAGCTAGAGTTTATGGGGACTTGTCTTCCCACCAGTGGTAAGCGGGGGCAGGGGTTTCAGGTGTCATGTTGGGAACCATCACTCTTTAGGTGGAATTTCTACAGCCAAGTTATCTCTCCTAGTTTTGAACCACTACACAAAATTGGGAATGTGGGATGTACAATTTTCATATTTTTGCCCCTTCTACCCATTTCTATGTGCCTTTCCCTGTGCTTTATTTTTTATTCATTCTTTTTTTTTTTTTTTTTTTGTGGAATTTCTGTACATCCAGATCAGGTGGTTTCTGAACAATGGTTGTTCTGCAGTTTAGTTGTAATTCAGATGAGCTCATGGAACATTTGAGTATAGGGTTAACTTTTCTATCATCTTGATCACAATCCCTAGGCTTTCTGATTTTAGATTACATGTATATGATGTCTGAAACACATTATTCATTCTTCCTACTTCTGTTTTATTTCACTTAGCAAAATGTTCTCATTGTTCATGTATGTTGGTACAAAAGGCAATGTGTTTTTTTTTCATCTGGAATCGCTGAATAAAAAATATTCCATTTAATTCATTTTATATGATATATTATTTTCTATTAATCTCTTAGACATTTTGGTTCTTTTGTGTATTGGCTTTTGTAAAGAATGCTTGAATGAATATCGATATGCAGGTTTCTGTTTTAGGTAGTGATTCTATTTTTTGATATATTTCCTGAATGGGATGTTTTCGTGAAATGGTTTTCCTTTCTCAGGTAATATGTGGGGATTTTACACTTATTCCCTAGTGGATTCACCAATTTACATTCCCACCAATGGTTTGATAGGATTCCATTTTCCATCATCTCACCTTGTCTCTGCTGTTTCTGAGGAAACTAGTTGTAAGAATTCAAAGATAGTATCTTAATGTGGTTCTGATTCATATTTTCTGCAAGAGAGGAGCTGGGGATAGTGACCATGTTAGGAAAAGCATTTTGTTTTGAAAATATTTTCTTAACTTCTTCATGTTGTCAATGGTATATTGTGTTTTAAAGTTTTAAACTCCCCTTTCTTCAGATCATTTTTTAGGTTCTCTTGTTTTGGATTTTTTATCAGTGTAATATATGGCCTGTTGTTTAGCATTTATTCCTGTTCAGATTCAAAATTCATGTTCAGATATTCATATTCATGCATCAACAATATGGGTATCATTTTCATTCTCAATGTTAAGATTAGCAGTATAGTTACTGTAAATTGGTGTGTATTTGGGGGTTATGGTGGAAAAATCTCCCATTTCTGGAAAACAAAGGTAATTGAAAATCATGAGTGCATTTATTATAGGGTTTTTGTAACTAGCTACTCTAATATTAAATTGAACTGCATATGATCAATATTTCATTACTAAAGAATTCTATTTCCTTAGAATTTCGGGAAA